TGTTGGTCAAGTGGGAGATCTAATAAAACCTAGAAAACTGGGATGTCCAAGGATGTAAGGAACACATTTTCTACAGGCAATATATCCATAAGTAAATATAAGTTTGTAGAAATGATAGTTGACCAGGACTTTAGTATTATAACATTTGTAAAAGTAGTTTTAGGATGGAGAAATGCTGTAAATCGGTCATGACAATATTAAACTTACACTTCTAGCTGAACATCTGACCCATCAAAACTCATTGGGCATCACATTTTTAATTCTGACTTTTAATATCCAACTAATCAATCGTGTTGTCACATTCATTTTCTTTTTGCTCAACCTGTTACCTTTGGCACTACATAATGAAAAGAGAACTTAGCGAAAGGTACCTGTTTTGCTATTTTTTATTACCTACATGTTTTCAAGACCCCGTAAGCCAGCCTCAACTTTACCTTGGCAGAGCCAATGGATGAAGATGCTTTGCTGACCAATGCATAGTATATGTGCAATCTGACCCAGGCTTTTACTGTGTTGGTCCTGAAGTATCCAAAAGTGCCAAAATCTGCAAACCACCCTTAACATCTGGGCTGATAAAGGCTAGATAAGCCGAGACTTTCTAAATGTCTAGCCTACCCTTGGTCAAACCATGGTCCTAATGTCAGATCTGACTCAGGTAGATCCGTATGAAAGATTGGGATGATGCCATAAACTGTAGAGTACTCCTTCATAGTAGCACAAAATCACTGACATCAAATGTGTACTCACCTCCAGCAGGACCATTACATCCGAAACCCGCGAATATTTTACTGGATCTCAAGCCCAGACGACGGCCGTTTATATATCGGGAAGGTCGAACTACATCAAGTCAATACACCAACAACTAGATTATTGTCCATGGCTGAAATCAATTGGGGAATTTCAACATCCACAGCTACTCCCCTGCTGCTCAAATGAGATAACCTTATCAAGCAATCAATGCTAAGCTGCAGCTCCTTATCGCCATCACACAAAGAGCTACACTTCAGCAACTACCACTCCTGAAGCGACATTGTCAGACCCCAGCCATTAAGCAGATAAAGGCTTAGGTAATATTCAACCATGAGGAAAATCAGTTGCTGAAATTCAATGAGCCACAACTATCACTGAAACAAGAGGTGTAGTGACTGTTTACCAAGCTAACCCAGAAAAACAAGGCCTTGATGAAGGCCAAGGAGATAATATGGCAAATCATTGCCACTAGTAGAAAGTCCACCACTGCACTCAAAAGCCTGTTAATGATACTTCAGTGACAACCAAGCTTTGAGGTGAGTGTTGCAGCCTTATACACTCATATTTTCTTTCTTCTCCTCAATTATAATAACTCGAAAGTATTGTTAATTAATTCCATGCACAGATTGTATAAATATTGCTCTTCTAACTCCAGCGACTTCAGGAAATCACTCTTCGATTTGTGCAAGTGTCAGTCACCATAAGAATTTTATTCTTCATGCCATCACCAAGTAAGATGCACATCTGTATATACGTATATATAATTTCTACCTTTGTATCTGTGTATATGTTTTATTAATCTTTCTTTTCTTTGCTATATTTTACTATTGGTTGATGTGAAGTTAATGAATTTATTTTGTTTTGTATTCACATCAAAATGGTTTATTTTGCATAAATTTAATTCTATTGTCTTGCTTTTTCTTTATGAAATGATTATTTGATATGTTATTTTTCCTTTATAAAGGGTCCCTTTAGTGTTCCTAAATTTTGGGATGTTTTGCTTTCTGTTTTTTCTGTAGTTAGTATGGAAGAAGTTATTACTATGTTATATGGCTGGAAGTTTGAATACTGTCAAAATGCTTATATTATTTTGTATTCTTGATTTTGTGCTGGAGGTTTTTTCTGTTTCCAGTAATGTTAAATAACGATACTTAAGTAAGATTGTTTTGATTTTTTCGTCTTCTTTTGTACTTTTACTCCCTGGTTGTTCAGTGGTCCCTCTGAAGTCTTATAATGCTAAACATCAGGTTTGAGTACTTGCAGTGAGCAGCAAACAGATGGTCCATTGTGAAGCTTTATGCTTAAAAACAAACAAATAAAACAATCCAAACTCTTGTACTTTACATCAAATGGCTTATTTTATGTTTCAGATTTTATTGAAGCTTGCTTTTATGTAAAGGGTAGCTTTTTTATTTTTTTATCATTTTGGTGGATTTTTTGTAAGGTTTATTTATATAAAAGGATTGTTTAGCATTTGTAATTTCGTTATGTTATATATAATTTGATATTAAGCGGCTTATTTTGTGCATGCAACACCAAAAGGTCATTTTGCTTATTTGTTTTGGAACAAAGCCACATTAGACTATCTACTATGTCCACTGTGGCTAATCGAACCTTTGATTTGAGCATTATAAGTCTTTAGACTTATCACAGTCCCGTCGAAGGACGCTATATTATATTATATTTGAAATTTATTGTTTCCTTTTGAATCTTGATTTGTATGTTTTTGTAGTTTGAAGTTATATTATTGGCTTTCACTCATACAAGTGTTTTGCTTTGCAAGTATTTAACAGGGGCGAGAGTAAGTTACACAGCTTTCTTGACCAATGCACGGATTTGTATGATTATCTTTTAAATTTTTAAGCTAGGGGTACCAAAAACGACCTGAAGGTAGAGGGGGAGGAAAGGTGTGTCTTCCATGCATACAACATGTTTTCTATCCCTTGCCATATCTAAGATTTTTCAAAAATATTATATATGCAAGTGTATGAGGTTGCAACACAGAACGTTGGTCATAAAAGTCACTAAATTCATTTTGTCCAAGCTAACTCAGTCATTCACTTATGGCATCACATGTGCTTTCTGTAACGTTGTACTTCATAAGTATAAATGTACAGTGATCTATCCCACTGACAAGTTAGGTGATAGCCTAAGAATGTAACCCCACTTATATTTTTTGGGGGACTAACCAACAGTCATGTGGATAATGCATGCATTTTGAGAAGAATATTATTATTTGTTCGTGTGTATATGATTTTATGCTACGTTTCTCAGTCTGAAACAGACCTAGTCACATTTCTTAGAATTAAAATATTAAAATGATCAAACGATCACCGTTGTGTAATACACAATTAAAATATTTTTAAAGACCGATCAATGACTGGAAATTAAAAAGTGAACAATGTGCCAGTCATTGAAATTTTAGACATGATAAATTTAACAAAACTTGCGTGGAATATTCATTTCTCCAATTTAATAATAAGATTTATAAATAGACTGAAGGCCTAGCTATGAATTCTCCATTATCTTCCTTGCTGTATGATCTTCTCATTGATAGGTTTGAAACTGATGTATTACTGAATGCTAAACTTAAACCAGAAATAGGGGTTAGGTATGTAGATGACACTCTCGTGGTGTGGTGACATTCAATTTACTTACGAAGTTGAAGAAAATAAGAGTTTACCGTTTTTGTACATATTAGTTAAGAAAATAAAGATAAGTTAGAAACTGGGTCTATCATGAACTGTTTTATGTTTTCATGCTGCAACACAAAGAGTTATGTCATACAAAGTCATAAAAATGTCAGATTTTTATTCTATGTTTACAGGTCTTTAAAACTATGTTCTAATCCAGAAGATTCAAAAAATGAGCTGTTATTAATTATATATGTAGCATTAGATAGAGGTTTCTCGCCTCCTGTTGTTAATACAGCAGTGAGAAAATTTAACAAATTTAACAAAATAACAAATGATGATTAAAAAATAACTAAAATCAACATTTGATAAAATAGATAAAAGATAAATGTTGCTTGTACCATATGTTCCAGGTTGTTATATCAAATGTTCCATAAATTCAAAACACAAAAAATCTCTTTCCCAGTGAATAAAATTAGTCAAATATTAAATAAAACTAAAGATGAAATAAATTTAATGGAGAAAACAGGTATTTATAAAATTGAATGTGAATATGGTTGTGTATACACTGGTCAAACTAGAAGAACTTTAAAATTTAGAGTAAATAAACATAAGAGAAATGTTAAAAACAAAAGTAAAAACTCTGCACTAGCTGAACATGCAAATTATACAGCTCATGTCATCCAGTGGGGAAAAACTGTTATTCTGCTCAACCGAATAAAATGGCGGCTAAAAATATTAGAGAAACCACAGAAATAATGAAACACTGTAAAAATAATTTAATCTTAAATAAGGAGGAAGGGTTAGAAAATCAGAAAGTAGATGGTGTGATCTTTTTTAAATATGTAAACTAGTAGTCACATGAGTATGGCTTTTTGTATTTAAATGTTTCACAACATTTGTTTTTCCCACTCCTGGGGATGGTGTGAACGACGTCGAAGCCTGTAGAGCGTATTTTTATGACCGTTGATCGTTTGAGTATTAATACTCAAAATATTTACACAAGTTCCTTGAATTTTAACCTATTTCTTAGAGCTATTAAAGATTCTAACAGTTCTACAAAAACAACAACTATCCTAAGAGACTATATTAGACTCTCCAGTAAAAGCACCATCTTTCATGCTCTTGTCTTATCTTTTGTGTATTGAATAAAGATTGTTTCGTTTTGTTAAGTTTATTTCATTCTTGATACTCAGTCAAAGAAAAATATTTCAGATTTGCTCCGCAAGCCATTTTCTGTTGAACCTCCTGCTATTCTGCCTTATTATGGAAAATCAGTAAACCTGTGAATACCACATGTTTACATGGTTAGGTCAGTGTAGCTCGATCAGATTCAACACAAACAAAAGATCTATTAAACTATAGGGAATTATTGTGCATAGATTGCAAACGCATGGAAGAAACGTCCCAGTTTTATGGCAACTGTCTGGAAACTCTTGAAAGCGATGACGTTACAGATCCAATCTTGATGCACCTTATGACAAAACATATCAGACGAATACTTCTGCCTTTAATCCGAAACGCCCTTGAACAGTTACTGTTCGTAAATAATGTTTCTCTATCATTAATTAAAAACTTATTAAAGACAAAATATATTTGCAGAATCTCAAACATTACCTTGAAAACAGCATTTAACTCCACTAGAGAACTAAATGTGGTTTCGTAAATTTCTTGAACTTTGGTAAATTCTCCGCTACTCCTTGCCTCTTCTATTTCTTCTCTAAAGAAGAAAAATCAAAAATATATAATCATTTCAAGAATTTTCCTCCAAGTTTTCTTCCTCTCCCCCTTCTTCTGGCTTACTCTATATATTTTCATAAAATTGGTTTATCAGGTATTCAAATGAGCAACAAAATATCATTTCCACCTTTGTTCATCTTGCTCTATTGGCCGGGTATCCAAAAGTAATTTAATTTTTTTATTAGATAAATATATATTTCATGACCTTCTGAAAATTACTTAATTTTCATTGTGTTTTAAATATGAAAGTATAACGCAGTTATGTACGTACATGGTATCTCATAATGAGTCATATTATTATTCAAAAACAGTACATAACTCACCTGAGGACTTCTACTGTATATTGTCTGTTAGGATAAACAATGACATCGTCATCGAAATTAATTTTCTGTGAAATGGAGGATTTTCCCCTAGACCTCGCACTAGAGAAAGCTTGGTTATTATTTCTCACGTCTGAATCTTGAGAGTTGCCTGGAACTGAGACCAATCGTCCTTCTGTAGTCTGCTGAATAGGCGGTAGGGAAAGATAGAGAGCGCTGTTGGAGTTTGGTGAACTTGGGGGTAACAGAAGACCAGTGATATAAGTATGAATTACTCCTAAGCCTTCGGTTAAAAGGGGACCAAAGCCCGCAAACTGCATATAAGGTCTGTGAGATTCCTGCAAGAAAAACCTTGATTAATTAATAAATTTAAAGCGTATACTGTGTTCCTGAACGATGCGTAATTTATATATTTTAAACACAGCATATAATACTATCATTGTACTTATACTAGGGTCACCAGACGTTCAAGTAAAATTGAGATCGCCCAGTTTATTGGTCTTTATTTTTCCGTCTTGAACAGAACCAGTAAATATATAAAATTGTTCAAGTTTCTCTGTACCTCAGTGTGAGTTTGATATGTACAGTTTGTCATGATACACGTATCCTTTAAATATTTCTTGTAAAAAATATCCAGACAAAGAAATATCACATGGCACAGTGTTCTCTTCCTCTCTGCTTCGTTTTCTTAACCTAATCTACTGTTGGATAGTAATTGAAATTTGGAGACCTTTCCAGTCGGGAAAAACGAAACGAATAAGCAATATTTTTCTTATGAGTTTAATAAAACTTAGAGGCGATTTTATTTTTTAACTCGATAAGCTTTTTAAAATGTTTTTGTCTATGGTTTTAAAACGCGATGCAACAATCACCATTTATTTAGCATATGGCAAAAAATGAATTATTGTAATTTAAACTGCTCCAGATCTGTTACAGAGACACGCCGTTTCGGAAAATAATGTTCTAGTTTTCATTCTGGAAATCTGGTAACCCTAACTGCATACACATTAAAAGAAGTGAAAAATTCGCATAAAATGGATCAATGCTAAGAAATAGATGGTACGCTGCTTTAATTTTCACTGATAACTTATGATTAATGATTCAGAGGTAGCGCTTTCGCAATTATACTAGCTGTTCAATTGTTTATTTGTTTTTAGAGTAAAGTTATATTGGGCTATCTGCTGAGTCCATGCTGTGAATCGAACCCCGAATTTTAGCATTGCAAGTCTGTAACCTTATCGCTGTCACACCAGGATGTGTTCGTAGGTAAATGTATCTATGAAGGGTAGTTAAATATAAAATAAAAAACACGTAAAAGATAAAATTAATTAATCAAAACTTCAGTTTCGGATGCTAAAATTAAACATATATATTACACATGTAATGTATAACACACACACACACACACACACATATATATATACATAACAAAGTCAAAGATATAAATTATAACACGTGAACTTTAAACAAATCTATAATTTGCTTCTTAAATTCCCAAGGAGATGTTCTTCATTGTAAGATCGTAATTATTAATTGTTAAATATGTGCTTCAATGTGTGTTTTCTATAATTCAACTAAAGCTCTCCAAAAACAGTTATGAAAATTCAATGTACATTTGAGAAGACTGTTATGTGAATATCTTATTTGTTACTGTATTTATTCATTATGATTCTGAAATTCATTTTTCAATCAACTTAAATTTAATTATAGTCAGAACAAAAATAGCCTATAAGTAAAATTTGTTGAATAAAAATTCTCTGTTAATTTTACATATAAATCTCTAGCACTAGTTAAAACATCATCTGTATCATTCACATGAGAGCATTACCTCTGGATTATTAAGTATAAAAAAATTAATAAATATTTGTGCAAAATGTCTTTACTTCTTTCCATATATCACATTTAGATGTTCTGTCCTGTGTATAAGTTATGCAGGTTTTCTCTGTGTTACGTGGCATGCTTTTTGCCACATGTAATTTCACTTTTGTTTTCCACGTTATGTAAGGTGTCCTTGTAATATATAGAATTTTTAGTGTTTGAAAATTACTCACGTTGCCCTGCACTATATTGATGTTACCTATCTTTCTTTTATTTCCATGAGATACGCATAGCCTTATATAGTATTTTCTGCATTACCATATTTTACATCTGTAAATTATTAAAGATAAATATTATATCGTGCCTCTTCAGAGTACCAATTCTTCAACAGTTTCTAAATGATACATTTATCCCTTTAAACATTAAATTTTGGAACAACATTTAATTCAAACAAAACATACGACATTCAAAAATAATAATGGTCATGGGAAAAAATTGATGTATTATTATTATTATTGGAATTTGGAGGGTAAATTCCAATCTCAACTCTTCTAATGTTATTTATTAACATAGATATATCATGTTTCATTCCGCTTGATTTGTGACTATTATAAACAGCGACAGGAGATAAGTTTTACTATTAGTATCAGTGGTTCGTGTTTGCAGTTACCTATTTCAGTAACATTTTTATACTTGCTTTTCTTACCTTCCCACAACTAGATGTAAATGTTGAATCGTGGTTTTAAATACAGACCACATAGTGAACTTGAGTAAGTACCTAAATCCGAAATTCTATTTCTAAGTCAAATTTAATTTCACATTGCAAATAGAAGGGAAATCTGACAGGCGGTGTTTCAATACCATTATATGGGTCTTTCATTTTTGAATAGCGTTTTTACTTGTGAAAATGCTTATTATTTTCATTTCATAGTGTGTAGCCTATATTTATTTGTCTGTCCTCCTTTTTTTGGCCTAGAAAATGTAGCAATCTAGTTCAAGTGATACAATACATGAAACTGGGTTTATCTGACATTTTATGTAAGTTTAAGATTTTTATTAAGTATGACTTTTAGGTTCCAAAGTAGGGTAAATCTTAAAGACTTAAAGCCACAAGCAGTTTCTTATTATCATTTATGTGCTGAGGTTGCAAATATAAACATCCCATCCATCCAACAAATAGGAACAATTATCATGGAAGGACAAAGATGACAGTAGAGAAAATAAATTAAATGAGATCATAAATCAGAACATATCTAGAGCTTAGACAAAATATACACGTATTTAAAATCTTTAACGACGTCGAAGCATATGCGAAGGAGACAAATATTTGGAAGGAGCACGCGTTACAAGAATTCCGTATATTGTCGTAACGTATTTCATCGTTAGGCGGATTCTTTTGGGATATTTGGTAAAACTATTGTCAAGTCCAGCACACGTAACAATAAGAATTAATTTTAGTTATTCAATTCAATCTACATTCACGGATAGGCCTAACCTCACGGCCCGGCATGGCCAAGTGGTTAGGGCGCTCGACTCGCAATCTGAGGGTCGCGGGTTCGAATCCCCGTCCCACCAAACATGTTCACCCTTTCAGCCGTGGGGGCGTTATAAAATGACGGTGAATCCCACTATTCGTTGGTAAAAGAGTAGCACAAGAGTTGGCGGTGGTTGGTGATGAGTAACTTCCTTCCCTCTACTCTTACACTGCTAAATTAGGGACAGCTAGCGCAGATAGCTCGTGTAGCTTTGCGCGAAATTCAAAAACAAACAAGCTTAACCTCACAGACAACGTTTTAACAGAAAGTTCGAAACAAGTAATACCTAACTCACAGATAAACTTACTTGTTAATGTTGCACTTTCAATCGCTAACGAACTCACTTTTTTAGCTTACTAACTGAATCTTGGAACTGAATAATTTACTCTAGAACTTATATTGTTCTTTTTTTTCTACTTTCTACACAAAATTTCTAGATCATGACGCAATGATTAACTTCCTTTAACAAACAAACATCCAAATTAAAACATTGAAAATATAGCTTACAATACTACGCTTTTCTGGATCGTACAGAATTAAACACTCTTAATCTGTGTGTGTGTATCTGTTCCTTATACGTTTCCAAATTTCTTGATCAATCAACACCAAACCTGACACAGAGATACAAGATGACATGATGAAAACCATGAGGAGGGTTGGACCCTCCATCTAACTTCATATTGATATAATTCTTAAAAACAGAATGTTTTTCTTTTCAGTATTGGTATCTTTATGTATTTTTTTTTGCACTTTTAATGTTAATTATGTTAACAACAACAACAAAAAAAGCACAATTTCCTATCCTTTGTTACAAACAAGTATTTATTTTCCCGTCCATTAGACGGGTATTCCAGCTAGTATACAAAAAAGTACGCTAAACTATTTATGGTATGCAGATAGAATGGCTTATTGCCCTTATTATCGTTGGAAAGTTCTCCATAGGTAAGTGATCGAGCAAATCCACTGATGGTTCTATCCTTTGTGATCCGCTAGAAGTAGTCTCGACAGGAACCCTGTACTCTTCAGCAGGTTTACTTTATGCTAGCAAGTTCTTCTCTGGAATTACTCAGTTGAAAATTTACGTACCAATGTAGATCTCAAGACAACCACAGTGTATGATTTTTTACTTGAACCACCTGTCCTTTTGAATTCTGTAAACAGCATCATTGATTCTTTTCAGTACAACACATGACCCTCCCCAACACCTGCACGATTGTGAAGTACATTCTTTCTAATGACAGGGATTGTTCAACCATATCACGTTACCTCGATGGAAGTCAGTCTTATCAGCATAAACATCATAGTAACATTTCATTTTATCACTAGTTGATACAAGTCTTTTCCGAATAAAGTTATGTATGGCATCAATGTTGTTCCTTTGTTTTTCTAGATATTCTGTGTAAGACTCTGATGTGAGATCAAAAGGTTTCATGTACTGCTGTTCAATAATTCAAAAATAGCGGTGGAAAATCTTGATCCCACTTTTTCTGATGTTCATTTACATAAATGGCTAATTGGCTTTAAAATGTATAGTTGTTTTTCTTCATCGTGTTGTCAGGAGATAGGTGAAAGGCTGTTGTCTGGTGTTTTTGAGCCCAAGGATCTCACATATTTCCACAAACAAGGCTGATTCGAAGTTTAGTCCCTGTACTGAGTGAGTTCCATAGGCATCACAAATTTTGAAAATAATTCATTGACTGTTTCCTTGCTAGGGTTTCTGCTCCTTGGTTAGGAACAGCAAATACTTCTGGCCATTTGGTAAGATAGTCCATTAAAGCCAAGATGTATTAATTCCAACTGTTACACTATAGCAGAGGATCAAGCACATTGAGAGCAAATCTCTTAAGTGACACTCGAACAAACTACTGTAGATTTCTGCACCCAAACCAATAGAAGCATTCCCTTACTCTCACTTCTGTGCCTTCTTAACACGCAAGTGTCCAGCTGTTCGAAGGTTGTAAAAATGTACTTTAGGAAATGAATAC